GTGAAGAGGTGGAAGGTCACGACATGATGGTTCCCTTATCGGGACCAGAGCTGATCTTCATCGTTCCCACAGGTTCACCTCCAGGGTCAAATGTGTCCTCGCCAGCTTTGCGCCGCCAGCTGTCACTACTTATGCATGAGACAGGAGCTCCAGATATGTTGCAAGGTCGGGATCGCCGTCGAGGCCTTGCAGCATGAGCATCGGCTTCACTTGAACTTAGCCAAGATTACTCTATTCTTCCGGAATTGGAATTGCGCACGCCCATGCATCACTTCATGCCAGGTGGTCTGATGGAGAGGATTGCCACTGAACAAGTGATTCCACCTGTGCAGGATTGCTGAGCCTTGTCGACGTCAACTAACACTTCAATATTGTTCTCATAACCCAAGCGCATCATCCGGCCGCCGGATAGGAGCGTTCATCCGTGGCGTTGTGATCCACTGTAATGCCATCCGTTACCCATGTCTGGTCGGCCCTACGTTCCTGTAGGCACAGTAACAACATCGTAAAGCCACATCTTCCAGCTTCTTTCGAACGGGCCACCCCTTCGCTTCCAGCGACACACACAGGAAACCCCACAGGCTTTGGACAGCACGTCCGATCCTAATTAAGACGATGCGGGAAAGTGGACTAAAGCGGGAGGCCTGCACCGGGGAAGCAAAAGGTCGTCCCCGGGTGTGGTCGATCTCAAATGTCGCACATGACTGAATCTTCCCAGGCAGGTTTCGCAGCCACGATTGCCTCATGCTTGGTCCTCCTCAACACCGTGTGCTGCAATTGTCCAGCATTTGACTCGATGGGTTCATATAATACACTGGCAGTCTACTCACAAGCGGTGCGCTGTCTTCATATTGATTCAACATGACTTCCTCTGCCGTGTGGTAGTAGGCGCTGGCTGCCAAATATCGACCCCAGCTCGATTCTTCGCATTTCTATCAGAATATGCACCATGCACGCAACATAATGCAGACCTGTCGCTTCTGATGCAACCAACAAGGACGAACTGACTCTACCCCAACAATAGCGGGGACTGGTACACACCTTCTTGCGTCTTTTACCTTACATTCATCCCGTCTTGACGTCGTAGATGGGACAGGACACGGCATGCTTAAAACGGACCCTGACGTCTTCCTCGTCGGACCACGGTTTACAAGCGCTCAGCGCTTTTCGGCAGATTTAGTCTTGTCCACGCTTCTGGGCATCCTTGCTCTGAAGCCCTTCATATGCAGCATGACCAACCGCCAATGCCATGCCGCCACCGTGGGTAGAGACGCGCAATGCCCGCTTGTGCTGGCAACGCAGCTTTGATTAGGGCACAACCACTTGGTTCCTGGATGCATGCGCGCGCACAACCACCCCTACCAAATGAGAGTCCTATTGCCGTGACCTGTCGAAGAAAACACACGTTCCAAAGGTTATCGACCGAATCAATGTCGCAGCTGGCTTTGTGACCTGTCTGAGGCATTGTTGAAGCCTTTATCTTGTGTCTATCCTGAGGCTTACCCCTCGTTCCAGAAGTGCGTGTAAAAACTTGTCTTGGTGATGCAGTACTGACGCCACCGTCTTCTCTATCAGTTGGAAGAACCAAAAGGCCACTCAGCTGCGAACACGGCAGTGTTTGCTCCGCCAACTGCTCTTCCGCGGGGCGATTCTGCGGATTAGCCGCCGTCAGATGACCGGACCGTCAGTCTTTTTCCTATCCTGATCTACTCCGTGCGTGATGCCCCCAGTGACCTCGGAGGCAACTTGATGACTGTGCCTCATGTTGTTGGGGGTGAGGATTGCCACCTTCCCCGCATGACTGGTCGAACACAGATGACCTGAAGACAGTTGAGGCTGTGTTCCTGCTTTGAGATGGCCAACGCCAGACCCAGAAGAGATTCTCGACCAGACGGAATTGTTATCGCGCCTTCCGAAAAGAGTCATTCGTGAATTTGGACACAGACATACATGGTGGAGGCCACGTAGAATGGACTCCCGACTACTGACACATGCCTGCTGGAAAGGGGGTGCCGGTATTCTTTTTTTCCCCACGAGAGCGGCGTTCTAGGGCGGTTTACACTTCGTCTCGGCATCGGCTACCACACGGTCGTTGGGTCTGAACGTCCGCATTCGCCACCGGCCCTCGTCCACTTAATCCGGCTATCTTTGATAGAGTGGGCGTTGTGTTGGACTTTCAGGCTACGCCTGATGACATGAGATTCGTATGGCCCGAAGCGAAGGTCCTCATGCTGGGTTTGGGGACAAAAGCGCTTCAGCATTGACATGGCAGTAGATCATATAAGACTGTGAGGATGCGATCAGCAATTCTGACGCATGCAGTCTCGAGTAGACGCGAATTGTATACCAAGACAAGTCGTTGCTGAGGGCATGATGCAGTTGGCTCTGATTGTCATATGAGGTGACGTCGTAGTGGGATCTACGCCGTGTCAGGGACCCCAAATTCCATGCGAAGTGTCATCGAGATGAACTGAGGAGGACCGCTAATAAGATCTGCAAAGGATGCTCATGTCTGTCATCACAGTCCACTCAAGGCCCGAACGGCCACGATATCCTCCAGAAAGCAGGGAAGAAAGGCGGCTTATATGCGCAGCGGGATCATAAGCTTAGACAGTCTTGTCAGCAACTCACGTGGTAGCATCGGCACGTTGCATGGCCTTAAGCAAGCATTGTTGCCGGGTTTACCAATCTAAACTAGCATGATGAACTGTCTGCTTTCTTTTTCTGATACAAATTCCCTTACGTGAACTCACGATTGCTTTACCTTAAGACGCCAGGTACCGTTCGTCAGTCCGATATCGTAATTTTGACAGGATCAGTCCTCGACCCCCAGGCGATAAGTCTGATCCTCGGACCAGCTCCTACCAAAGTCATGAGTCCAGCAAGAAAATGTTGGGCGAACAGTTTTGAGGCGCTCGGCGTGCGTGATAGAGTAAATGCGGTACACATATTGTGCTACTTGCTGACCAGAAACCTCTGCAGCTATCTAGTCAGCAAAGAAACAAAGACCTAATGAGCCAAATTAGGTTGAAGAACGCTATCAATATGTTCCATGACGTTGTTCTTCGCTTTTCTTTCTCGGAAGCCTGACTGTTGATGTATGTGGTTTGGGTGCTTTTGGGGACGACAATCGCTACCTTGAGGACAGTATTTATTATCCGCAAATCACAATGCCATGCCAGTAGATTGAGCACAGAGCGACCCTTTACAAGGATGGAATATCGGTAGACCGCTACCATCAAAAAGAGGACTCTCCAGAACTTTATCTCGAATGTACAAAAGGTCTATGAATGGCCGTTATTTGGTGACGTACTTTCAGCAACAAATTTTACCGTACACACCACGAGGAAGTTATCAGTTCGTGATCGGGAGAGCAAGACTCGTACAGTGGTGAGCACGCGAGAGATTTTCGACGGTTTGGTGACCTCCACTGCCATCCTCATTTCAAGAAGAAATTCTTGCGACCATACCAAGCATCGAACATAGGTCAGTTCATAGAAAGCATTGCGGGATATCGGCTAGAAGCCACACCACTCCAGCTTTCGCTTCTGCAAGTAACACATCAAGGTGCCAGTATGATTGGAGAGAAGTACAGGTACGATGATGTTTTTCATCCAAGGAAATCCACAGAGTCATCTTGCTTCAAGCGAATTGCAAAGGCGATGCTGGCGTCCGCGAAAAATGAAGCTGTCAACTTCACTCTCCCATTCTCTCCTGAGGGGAATGAGAGGAACCAGACGTTGTGAAGTAACATCCATATTTCGATTGCATACTTCTTCTTTCTCAGAAAACTAATCGCTGGCGAGGAAGGCATGTTAATTGCGTGGCATTTTCTTGTAAAGCCACATGATTTCGTTCCTCAAATAAATTCCTGATTTCGACATTTTCTAAGAGCTCGCACCGTCCGCCTGTCTATTCAATGAGATTGATAGCAGCCTGCTTTAAGTACATGGCCTGAGCAGATACCTGGTGAATAGGAATTCGAGTTCAAAGGGGAGTGTGTAACGGCTCCTCCATCCAAAACATGGCACTCTAAACAATAGGGTCCCGGGCACCCCTGGCCTTGGTAAACACTCGACAACGTATATCCAAATATGAAGCGCTGGTCGGGTTTAGCCTAGAGCTTCTTAAGACGACAATTCACTAGCCCAGTCCAAGATTTGTGGGTCCTGATTCGCCTTGCCAGTTCTTAATCGCAAGCCAACACTGGATGTGAACGTCTTGGCTGCGGACATGTATCCGAAGACAACGCTGGCAAAGCAACTCTGATACATGCCATAACGACTACATATTCCGACTCAAGAAGGTAATGTCTTAAGAGTGAAGGCCTGCATTTCTGGAACCAGACGGAGTTTGCATCTGACCTCACAACCAAGCGAGTTAGTCAAGCAAGCGTGAGAGATGAAATTGTTCAAGAAACAGACAATACCCCACCGAGAAATGCCGGCCGATTTGCAATCCCCTTGATCCTTCTTGAAAGGCAGGGAGCTGCTGTTTCTTGGATTTGCAACGTGCAGCGTGAGTGCTGTTCACGATGTCATGGCCAAGGGCGTATCAACTCTTCTAGGTCTTGATGAGAAACGTCACAGACTATGTCGTTTACTGGATCTGACCGGAACCTGCTGCAAGGCTTATCTCATCATTAGACTGCGTGCGCGGCCGAGCTGATGACGGCTGTCTGGTTTTCACAGACATAACCGACGCCCAATACCTCGTGATAAACATCTGACACGAACCAGAAACTGACATGGGCAGTGCTCAATGAATGTGACGCGGATGATGGACGCCTATGGCCAAGACTTGATGACTGTGAACACCGACCCAAGCCCTGCGAATGAGCCAGAGGAGGCATGACGTTGCGCACACATCACGACTTTCACCTGTGCTCTCCAAAACATAGCACTAGATCACAACACTGAAGTATAGGAAGAAACAATGCTGAGGAGATTCATATATCAACACCCCATGCGGCTAAAACGGCAGCAAGACCCAAGCCCTACCTACACTTCCTTCTTCTCCTCCGCCTCCGTCTCGGTTCCCGACCGTTCAATATCCAGACTCTCCTTTGCCTCTTTGCCCTTCTTCTTGATCGAGTTCATCGAAAATCGGCTGCTCCACCCGGCGATGCGACCTTCCTTGCTCTCCTTGGACTTTGAAGGCCCTAGCGACGGGCTGCTTCCGACACTGTCGTAGCTGCGGCCCAAGTGGCCCAGGTCTTCTCCCAGGTCATCGATGTCGCCGATGCTTGAGCGCTCCATGGAGTAATTCTTGTCCGAGTTGGTCGTGCTGCCGGGACCCTTCTTAAAGAGGCCTGATTCCTTTCCGAGACGAGAAGAGAGGCTGAACTTGCTGGAGCTACCCTTGCGAAACAGTTTGCGCATGGCACTCTCCTGGTCTTTGAAGCTCGACGGTGCGCCGGAGGAGTGGTTGTCCGACGGTGTGTTGGAAAAGGTGCGCTCCAGAGAGAGCGACTCGCGGGACTCGGTGACCGATACAGACGTTTGCGTGTGTACCGAGAAGGCATCACGAGACTTGCGCGAGTCGGTAGGAGACTCGTCAAACATGGGCGGTGCCTCTAGGCTCGGAGTCGTGGCCTTGCTCTTATCTTTAGCCTTGCCCTTGGTCTTATCCTTTGCGCCATCTGTGTCTTTATCCTTAGGACGGAACAAGCCGGCCATGAACGTGGGAGCGTTGGGATTGAGCTGCTGGTTGAGTGCATCGGCATCGGATAGCATCTGAGCCTGTGCTTTGGCTTTGGACTTTGGCGGAGGGCGGCTGCCGATAACACCGACTTGGCTGGGAGACACCTGCGGGTTCAGAAGAGCCTCTTCATCGAGGATCTCATCGTCAGCTGAGGCAAGTGTTGTCTTGAGAGCAGCTGGAGATCCATGGATTGATGGGCGTCGAGATGGGTTCCGAGAACCCTGCCATAAGACATCCGGCGACCAAATGCGGCTCTTGTTGAAGTTATCGCCAGGGGCCCCCCAGATGGAGCCACTGTCAGTAGACGGTCTGGGAAGATCAGCTGAAGCGATGGACGCTGGTCGTGGGCTGCTCGGTATGCGGTCTGCGAAGGCGTTTGACGAGCTTCCGAACGGATTGAGACGCTTGGCAAGCTTTGAGCTATGCAGCATCCCCTCGCCGGAAGACTCGGCACCGGGCGCAGCTCTGTTGAACCAATTTGACGAAAAGCTAATTTTGCGCTTGCTGTCTTCTTCGGTCTGTCTGGGGAAGGACTGGCTCTGACCGTGCTTCAGACTTCCAAGAGCCGGTCCAGCATCCGTGGTTGCGTCCTTGACACCTCGGTTGCGATTGAAACTTGCGAGCAGGTTGGTGAGGCGGTGACTTGAGGCGGGGGGTGGGCCAGGTGAGGAGGTGACATCGTGAATAGATCTGCGGTCGAACGAATCCGGATGGTGCAGGGTGAAGGGCAGGTTGTAGCTAGAGTTGTGGGGGCTGGAAACGTAGCTATGTCGGCCAGAGGACGCGGGAGAATGTGTGTCGTTAGCAAAGTCGGGGACTGCCGGACTCTTCCGAGAATCTGAAATCGGGCTTGGAGGGTCATCATCGTCCATATCCATATCCATCAGGATACCCGAGGGGAGAAGTGCCGTTGCCGTCGGGCTGAGGGGCGCGCCGCCAGTAAGAGCCTTGATCTCGGCATCGCTGAATGTTGACTGGTCGATGCCGATAGGTTCGGCTGACATGTCCATGAAAGGACCCGGGGCGAACCCAACGTGGCTGAGTCCGAGAGAGGAGGGGAAGATAGGCTCTGCAGAGGCGAACTGCCCCGGGGGCGAAGGCATGCTGATGCCGTGTGCCGAGTTGTTGCTGGCTCTGCTTCTCCTCTTGACTTGGGTGGACATGTTCTGATCGAAGTCAACACCAGACGAATTGGCCTGACCATACAGTTGTAGACCGGACTGCTGCTGAGTATAGACCTGGGTGTGGAGGACGTGAATGTGGTTCTCGATCTGCTGCGCGCGGCGGTCCTCCATGATAAGTTGGCTCTGCAGCTCCCGGCGTCGCAAGTCAAAATCTCGTCGCATCTTTCGGTCCTCCTCCTTCCAGCGCTCATCTTCCTCGCCTCCTGGCAATTGTTTTCGGTCATCCTCTAGCTCTTTCAGCTGTTCTTTCCTTTCCTTGTACTCGGCTTCCAGCTGCGCAAACTCTTCTTGCAGGGCAGCATTCTCCTCGCTGAGATGCTTCACCTGGAGGTCGCGGTCCTGCTGCACATGTTCGCGCTCGCTCGAGAAGCCGTCCCTAGATTTCTTCATCGTGCCGACGTCTGTGTTGCACTTGTCGACCGTCTCGCTCATCTTCCTCCGCTTGTCCTGCTTCTCCTTGAGGACACTCTCCTTTCTAGCCTTTTCCTTGTTCGTCTGGCGCATCTGTTCATAGGTCGCTTTAACCTTCTGCTTCAGCTGCGTCGTCTGATCATCCTTCTCCTTGTGTGTTTGCTTCTTCTTTTCCTTTTCCTTCCGCAACGATTCCTGCATCTTCTTGAAGTCGGCTTCTTCCTGACTGTATTGCGCCAGTGTTTCGTCAATCTCTCTCCGCGTCTTTTCGAGCGCATCGGCGAGCTCCTTCAGGGACGGTTCGGGACGGTCGCTGTTGTAGGGCATCTTGATGACTGGTTGATCCTGGCTCGCTACCGAGGGTGAATGGCGTCTGTTCAATGTGTTGCGCCGCTGGCCAGGCGCTGTCGACGTGCCTTCGCGCGGAGGCGCGGACACGCCATCGACGGATGGTGCAGCTTCGATAGAGGGAACCGGGGTGCGGCCGGTGGTGTCCTCGGCGGCTTGTGATTGACCGGCGCGTGATCCCTGGTCCTGAAAGCTGTCGGGCACGCGCGAGTTGCCGAGTTCGGGGCGTCCATCGCACTTGTAGGTTCGCAATCGGATCATGGGGCTGCCAGCCTGAAAGTTGTTAGGTCCCACGGCGATGACGCGAACGTTGTAGCAGTGGTTGGGTCGCAAGCCGGTGACGGTGATGGCGGTCTCCTCGGGCCTCGACTCGCCGACATTGACACCGTTGACTTGAATGAGGAACTTCTGGACGGGCCGGTTGCTGGCAGGGCGAGTCCAGCTCAACGTGGCAGCGTCGGCGCGAATGCCGGCGAGGGAGACATCGGGCGGTTCGGGGACGTCCACGCCGAGGATGCTGATGAGGTCGGATGTGGGTTTCCAGAGCGTCTGCCAGGTGCGGTTCAACAGCCACACGACTGCGCCGAGGGTGACGAGCATATTGGCATGGCCCAGCAACAGGGTGTCGAGCTGCAGGTACCAGAAGAGCTCGCGCGAATGATCGAGAGACCAGGCAAAAGAAGATGCGGCGTAGTTGGGGGCGACGACCCAAAAGGTGACAAGAGTGGCAAGGGAGAGCAGCAGGGTCTGAAAGAAGTTGGCGTTGGGTCGTTTAAACCACCAGGCGACGAGGGAGGTGACGAGAAGGAATCTCATGGAGAGCAGCCATAACATGGCCGCGACAAGACAAGGGAACCTGAAGGAAAAACCACGAGACAAGCATTCGAACCAGGCGGTCAAGAGGTGGAGGGGGGGAGGGGGGGGAGGGTCAAGGTGAGAAGGGAAAGAAGAGGGAACAGAACAAATGGGATTTAGTTGGAGCAAGGTTGCAGCAGCGCAAGCAAGTGCAGTAACAAAGAAAAGGGTGGGTTGGCGGAAGGGACGATCAGAAATCTCGGCAGTCGAGTTTGGGGGGGGGTACGAGGGTTGTGTACTGTGTATATGGCCTGCATCACTGTGTGTCTCCCTGTCGTCATGGCCATGGGGGGCTAGGTAGGGCTAGCAGCCAAGAGCTCACTACTTGAAGGTGAGTCGCCTTGTAGAAATAGGGTGCGGCTCTGATGCTTGACCACTAAAGCCCTGACTCATGCGTGTTTTGCACAGTGCAAGAGGCACGTGCTAGATGGGAGCCGCTCAGACAAACAAGGCGATGGAAGGGACATCGTGGGCCCTGCCCGTTGGCAGCACTTGGCCGTCTTCCGGCATCATTGGCCCGGATGAGATGGACTGGATGCAGCAGGCATCACGCACACAATCCCGTACCCGTGACCTTATTCCGCAGTTGAAAAGCCACCCGCCCATCCCGCCATCTCAACTCACCAACAACGCTGGCTCGCGGCACTTGTGCGGAACAGGCCTTGGCGCGGCTCGCCGACAGGTCCCTTGCTGCAGCGCGCGGAAACAAGTGAAAGCTGGCACTTGCTGCCATGTAGTGTTGAAGCCGCGTTTGGCGTCTGCAAAAAGACGCAAGAGGATCATCGTCCGATCTGAACACCTACAGAGAAAGCGTTCTTGCATTGGTGTGAGGAGACAGCCATAAGCCCTGCCACGGCCAATCATCCCGAATACAGTCATTCGCACGAGAGAGTGAGTCCCTCCTCGGCGCGGATGAAGAAGTATTAGGCAGGCGGTGAGGCGACCAGGAGATAGGCAGAAATTGGTCAAGCTCCGAAGCTCACCCGGCGAACGAACCCTCAACTCGGTGAAGACCTCACTTAGCGCTCTCTCCACCATCGGACCATCCGACGACACCAGAAAGCCGGGCCCTCCAACTGGACACTTGCCTTCTCCTGTTCGACGCCAAAGGCACCGCCAGGGACCCTTCGTCACGAATCAACCTCTCGCCGCCCGCCACACCCCCCTACATGGCCACAATGGCCGCCCGATCCCCAACCGGCGCCCCCGTCGAGGAACCCAAGCTCGGCGTACCCTCCCTAAACCCTCTGCCCCTCTCTGCCTCGCAAGAGGCTCAAGTGCGCGACATTTACTACGCCCGCGTGCGAGCAGCATGTGCTCCTGAAATCAAAGGTACCAATTGGCTCACCTCCTCTGCCTCTTGCCCCCCGGCAGAGCCCCCCCCTCCTCCTCGAGCACCCGCTGACAGAGCACCAACCAGCCTTTGCCGAATGTGCCCTGGGCCGCACCCTCTCCATTCCCTTCGTCTGCCGCACGCCGCACCGGGCCATGAACTCCTGCATGGTCTCCCACGCAACCCAGGCCGAGCAGGACGCCGCCCGCGAGGATTGGTTCGCGCAGCGCCTCGAGCGCCAGCGCGAACGCGAACGCAAGGCCCAGAAGAAGGCCGGTCAGGAAGAATTCCTGCGCGAGTGGTGGGGTCTTCCCGAGAGGGACGCCGAGACGCGAAGGAGGGAGGAGGAGAAGGCCGCGCGGGCCGAGAGGGTCGGCGGCTACGCGGCGAGGAATCGTGTGAGATGGGAAGAGACGGAGGCGCCGCCGACAGTCGACGAGTCCAAGAAGAGGTAGAGATGAAAAGTAGGAGGCAGCCGTGTCCCCTTGCACGGCACAATGTGTTTTGAGTAGTGTATGCCAATTGGCCGGAAGGGGGATGAGAGAAGAGGGGTTGCTGTGCATTCTATGGCGTTTTTTTGGGGAGGGGGTTTCAATCGCAGCATCGGACACCCTGCTCTATCTGGCGAATTCTCTTAAGCTTGTACGAATATGAAAGGGGCAGCTGAGTCGCTGAACACAACAATCGAGCGTATGATTCATCCTATTTTTCTTCTCTTTTGAGCATAAACGTCATCATATTGCAGCACAATGCTGCGCCTTGTCTCCTATTCTCATCATCTACGTCCCAAGCAAACCCCTGTTTTCCTGTTGTCGAGTGCTCTTATTCTATCGCTTTACGTTATTCTTCATGGACGTCCCGTCAGCACTCACTGAGCAGGCTTCTGCAGGTCGGCCGGCAGCGTAGCGACCTTGTCGTTGAAGAGCTTCTCAGCCCTCGTCCAGACGGGGTCCGTCTTGCGGTCCTTCAGCGTGAGCAGGTACGGCAGCAGGTCCTTGCTGTACGTCTCGGAGGCCTCACGGGGGAGGAGGCTGGGAAGGTGATCAATGCTGATGACGCTCAGGGGCGGGTTCTCGAGTCCCTCGACGGGCACTGTGGGCTTGTCGAAGGTTGTGGCGACGGTGTAGATGGGGACTGTTGCGGTGTCAGTAGCGATCATTTCAAATAGAAGCAGTACACTGACCAGGGTTGTTGGGGTTGGTGGTGTCAGCAGAGACGTCGCAGACGACGGACAGCTGCCTCTTGGGCGACTTGAGAGACTCAAAGTCGACAAAGTTGGGAATCTTGCTGTTGAGGTAGATGCAGTTGACAAAGATGTCGCTCTCAACAATCTCGGTGAAGGGGCCGCCCTTCTTCGTCTCCTCGAGATCCCACTTGAGGATCTGCTCCTCGGGCAGGCCGACGCGGCGGCACAGCTCGACGGCACCGCTGCCGCAGCGGCCGAGGGCGCCGATCACGAGGACCTGGGGTAGCTTGCCGGCCTTCTCCTTGCCCTCGGCAATGCTCTTCTTGACAGCAGTGATGAGCTCGTCCTCGTTGGGATAGCTCTCGACCGAAGGCAGGGGCTTGCCGGGGTTGTTGAGCTGCCAGGCCCAGTTCTGGAGAGCCAGAGCAGCACCAGAGAAACCGGCGCTCCAGCCAAAGGCGGCGACTCGGGCAAAGCGGCCGGGGGCGACCTCCTTCTCGAGGAATTCGAGGTCGTAGAGGGTGCCGCCACCACGAGGGAAGCGGGCCAGGACGTTCTCCCACCCGCCCTGCTGCTTGTAGCAGTGCGCAAACTGGACGTGAACGTGCTTCAGAGGGACTGTCAAGGAGTGTCAGCACCAGGGTGATGCGAATGGGAATCAATGCAGCTCATGACTCACAATCCTCCTCAAGAAGCTCCTTGAGGCCAACAATGATGTGGTCTTGGGGGGCTTCGGTCCAGCTACCCTCGGGGACGAGGGTGGCGCCAATCTTCTCGAACTCGGCATCGTCGAAGATGCGAACAGGGCTGCGCTCGACATTGAGGGTGTAGCCAGCCTTGATCAGCTCGGATGCCGTGAAGGGGGTCAGAGCACTGCGGTGCTCCAGCGGCTTGGTCTCGGACCGGAGGTGTAGGGTGATGCCAGACATGGCTGGGATTGTGACGGCCTGTCGATGGAGCGTCAGTTGTGTCTCTGGGGAAGGCTCGGCTTCGTGAACAGCTCACAATATAGGTGTCTATGTGGTGAGGCAGTCTCAAATGGAATCAATTGAGATTTTCCGCGCTATGTTGGTTGAATGCAATGATATCGCGACGGGTTTAAAACGTTTCCTTGCGCAAGTAAGTTTTTGGGTCGGGAGTCATAGCATCCCAGATGGAGGGGCCGGTGACGGGACAGGTGCATCGAATGGAGGGGCGAGCGTGGGGCAGTTGTGGCAGAACCCACACCGCCCTTTGCTTTCCACCTTTAGACTTTGGCTCATCCTGGCTTTCGTGCCTGTGTTTGACAGTTGCATCAGTCAACACCCCCAATCGGTCAATAGCACCACTCCTTTGCTGTGAGGGTCATCATAATCGTTGGCCATCAAATGATGCCGCCTGTCGGATTACGCAATCGGACGGACATACAGAGTCCAACGCCTAATTCTGGCCACAGCCCTGTCGAACCTTCTCAGTGCCGTCTGAAGTGATAGAAGGAAAGCGCAACAGCTAGCTCAAGTGAGCGATGTTTGTAGCGCACAGTCCACAGCCTGTTTCAACCAGCAGAACGCTATCGGCCTCTTGATCGTGTGGACCGATCATCGGAGCGGCCCCAAGGATAGTCTGCCGAGAGACCAAAGCCTCCATAACTGAGCGACCTAATCCTGCTGACAACGGCAATGGCACAGGAGAACTCATCAAACAAGACATGGTCAGCTTTGAAGAGTACTAATGCTATAGGTTTGAAGATTCTGACTCCCAAGACGTATAAATTCAAAGAGAAGCTTGTCCTCAAACCAAGCAGTCAGACGGTGTGCGATATGCCCCCTTCGCCGATCGCAACCTCAATCAGGAATCGAAAAAGCCTACCATAGGTCGAACATGACCAAGTGTGCCCTCCTCCCAATGCACTCGGAGCACCTCAATCACCGTCACAGGCACACTGGGGTTCCGCAGCGACCAGCACGCGGTCTACCCGATCGCGCTCACCCGCCAGGAGAATCCTTCTCCGCCACCTCATTCGCCCGTTCCTCTTTGCCGCGATGCATAGGGTCAGCAACCCAGGGTCTCGAACAGAGGGCGGAAACACGGAGACAAGCATTTGCAGTCACATCCAATAGCGCACATGGTTAGGCTTGTTCGCCTCAACCAACCCCGCGCGTCTCTGTGCTCCCAGGTTTGGGCTCGGCGGCTACGCTGCAGCGTGACGGGCCCACTGATTGGCTCAGCGCTCTCATCCCGTCTATTTGTGTCGTGCGCCTCAAGCACCTCACCAGTCGCGGCGCACCCTCTCAATTCATCGAGCGCTTACCTGGAGAAGTGGTCGGGGGCCACTGGCAAGTGCCGTGTATCCTCCGTTGGGTAGTATATACTCCGACTTAACCATGGTCTGCTCCAAAGACGCTGGTCTTGGGCCGTCTATCATCCCACGAATACTCGAGACAGCTTCGATTGGGGGGCCCGCGCGTGTTATTTGTTGGGTCTACCACTGTCCTGGGATCAACACGAGTAGGTAAGAGGACCAGCGACCTAGGCCTGATTCTCATCGCAACTGTCCTTCAGTAAAGGCATCTCACTTGCTTCCCTCATACCACTGGCGAAACCCTGAACCCGCCATGTCGGCACCACCGCCTCAACCACCGGGAGGGTACTCACTCTTTCCGAATCCTAACAGCAAGCCTCCAACAACAAAACGGCCATCCTCAAGAACGAGGAGGTCAGAATCCCGCGAGCGCTCACGAACCCGAGCGCCTACGCCCGGCGCCGAGGCGACCACTTCATCGGCCCCTCATGCCATTGATACTTCGCCGCCTCGCCAAGGCCGCAGACACAGACAAAGGCCTTCGATCGATACCACAGTCTCACCACAGACCATCCATCAGTCCCCGACGGACGACGTGCAGATAGCGGTAGCTACACGCGTGGTGGCCCCAATTCATGTGCAAAGACCACCACCCGTCGCAGATATTCCGCCTCGTTCGGACACGGCCTTTTCGGAGGCCCAGACTCTGGTTCGCAGCAGCAGCACTCGATCGCGCAGCTCCATAGCCAAACTGCCTCTGCGAGAGGAACCCTCTTTGGCAGGGCAGCCTTCAAGGCCTCAACCCGCCATTAGGTCTATCTTCCCGCAGTACAACCCAGAGGTGTCTCTGAACCAGCAAGACTACTTCCCGACTCAGACAAGCCCAACGCACATCCCCCGTGCGGTCATTAGCAGGATGACCTACCAACCGGAGGACCACCACGTCGAGGCTTCGAGTCCAGCGGTTGTAAGCCCAATCGCGAGTCCGTCAGCCGCGTCTCAACCTGCACCACCCGCCCCATCTCAGGCCCAGGCCCAACGATGGCCTCCGAGGAACCACGAGATTCCCACTCTTCCGGTTGAGTCTTCCACAGAGCAGCTGAAGAACTTGTGGAAGGTCGTCAATGGCTGGAAAGCCTCACCCTCTGACGGGCGAGTCTTCTGCATGAAGCTCTCTCAGGAGAAGGACGCTCCCGTCTACACGCTATCCTCCAAACAACAGCCATTCTACAATATGCGTCTAGACCCTACCTCTGCCTCGGCTATTGTAACACTTAGTCGACATGACCCCAACAAGCAGTACAAAGCCGCCAGCGCCTCCACAAACTCGTCAGCGAGTAGCATCATCAACAATGTCGTAGGAAGCAAAGATGCGAACAAGAACTCCGACAGTAAGAATTGGCAGGAAGTCATCAGCACAACGCTTGAGGAGGAGTCCCGTCGGCATCGCCCCAACGATGGCCTCGTTGCTCTTCTCTACCCTGCTGCTGCACAAAATGTGGCGCTGAACCGGCCTGATGATGCAAATGCCATCGCCATGGCCGAGACAGAATGCACTCGTCTCGTCTGGGATGATGATTCGGGTTCCCACTTTCTCGTTCATCCTGCCCTCGCAACGCCTTTCTGCATCACTATCGAGCGCAATGCCGCCTGGAGCCGCACCGAATACACGCTCGAGCACCATGAGAGCCCACAGCACCTGGCCAAGCTTACCCGTGACGGTACTGGCTCGGGTTGGCTCGAAGTCGACACCGCCATCGCCGCCAAGATTGAGAGCTTCTTCATCGTCGATGTCGCTGTTGCGGCGCTGCTGCTCGTTGCTGCTGGCGACGAGCGGACGGCGCACGTGGAGACGTTTGAACCCCCGCCGCTGCCGCCTACACTAGATACTGCTAGCGGCGATGGACGGTCAAGTCGTCTCGGCGGCCGCAGCGGCAAGAAGAGCAGCAAGCGCAAGATGGAGGCGTTCGAGATTGACGTTGAGAGCCAAGACGGCGGGTTTGCCAAGTTTGAGCAAGTGACCAAAGAGACGCGCCGGATGCTGCCGTGGCCGCTGAGGGCGGCGCTCAAAGTGCTCGGCGGGATTTTCAAGTGCTTCGTGTGGTGTCTGACCATCATGTTCAAAGCACTCGCGGCGGTTGTGGTCGGGCTGGCTCGATGTGTCGGGGTGAAATAGGAGTTGCGACTCGCGTTGCGTCAACAGCGGTCGTTTTTTTATGGTTATGATTACGGATGGAATATACCACGAGACGACCGATCTCCGGTCAGGGTAGGAAACTGGATTTTTAGCATGGGAATTCAAGCGTCTTCGGGGTACCAGGGAAAGGGTCTGTAATGTCCTCGGCATTTCCTATATCTAGCAGGAAGAAAACCTATGCTCGGTCATTGGGTATCGCTCAAACAAGAATTGACATGAAAGTGGCCTCTCAGCTCCGAAGCGATCCGATCACCTCTTCCGCGTGCGGACCATGATCTTCTTTCCCTTCCTCGTTGTGCCTCCTGACGTTGCCGTCTTGGCCATCTTGGCCTGCTGGATCTCAAGCTCCTGCTCCGCCTTGGTCAGGACCTTGAGTTTCCTCTGGGCCAAGGCCAGCTCGGCACGCAACCGCTGCAGGTTCTTCTTTTTCCTCGCCGTCTCCTCGTCGACCGCCTCTTCCTTCTTGTCATCGTCATCTTCGTCGTCGAGCCCGTCCGAGTCATCCGCGCCCCCCACTTCCTCCTCCTCCTCCTCCACCGCCTCAAGCTGCTGCGCCACATCGTCGACAAAAACAATCTTTTTCGGCTTCGGCGCCTCCGCAAAGTCGAACTCGTCGTCGCCCTCCTCGTCCTCGTCATCCCCGGCCGGCAGCCCCTCGGCCGCGAGCACGACGGCCTCCGTCAGCCTCTGGACCTCGCGCATGACGACGCTGCGCGTCGTGCGCACATAGGCAATGTCCTGGGTCTTGAGCAGGCGCACGAGCGACACCTCCATGGCGCGATTACCGCGGTCGCCGGTGACGGTGCCGCGCCACTTCTTGCCGTCGAGCACGCGGGACCCGGGCCCGTCGCGGGAGAGCATGCCGAAGTAGAACTCATCCTCGTTGCGGTCGGCGGCCTTTTCGCGCAGGGACTTGAGCGTCGCGGACTTCTTTTTGTAATCTTTCTGTCGAAGTTGGCGGTCCTAAGAAAAAAAGGGGGGGAAATCATGTTAGGTCGTTTGTCTGCAAGGAAGAGCGAGAGGAGGAGGGGGGGGTGCGAACCTTGTCCTTCTCGAGGAGGCCGAAGCGCTTGCGCTCGAGGGGTTGGGCACGCTCACGGTGAGAGCGCCTCTGTACGGCGTTTCGCATGGACGACATGGTGGCGATTGGCAGGCGAGAGGTTGACACGGGGGCTCGTGAGGTGGAGGTGCTTCAAGATGGTGAGAAGTCAAGACGGACTGCTGCAGAAGGCGGCATGGCGGCAGAATTTGTGAAATTTTGGGCGGTGAGGATTTGGGGCGTTGGACTTTTGATGTGGTCTGTGCTGACTGTGTTGCCTTGCATCGTATCTTATCTGCCCCTCCAACTGCCCACTGCCAAATCCCGACGGGATCGCACGACCCCAACAACCTCATCACGATGGCCTCGCTTCTACACAGTTCTTCTGAAACCCATTGGCCTCTTAATACGGATAACCGAGGTCATTTCTTCGTCCTTTATTTCTCAGCACCATCCATGCCCTGAAGTAGAGCTGGAGCGGGCGCAATTTGTAAGCTGCTCCTCGATCTTCGCGAATGCCAAACGCCAAGGCACAAACATTGGAGAGTGTCGCGAGATGCATCACAAGCCCGTCATCCACAGAGCCAGAACTCCGCATCGAGAAGACAAGCGGAATTCAAATGAGTCTTGGCGAAACGCGACGAGCAGCCAAGCCGGATCCTGTTCAGAATCACCTTTCCCACGCACGAGCTGGAGCTAGTCCTACGCCTGAAACCCGAGGCTCGTCGAGCAGGATGAAACAAACCTCTCTTCGAAGGCGGCTAAGCGACGCTTAGTAGCTATCGTGCTCATGAACTGCTATGTACCCTTGGCTTTTTAGCAAGTGCAGAGATGTCATCCCCAACAGGAACAGAGAAGAGGGTAAGCAGTTTTGGTCACTGACAATTCACCAACGCTTATCAAGGCCGTTACGGTGGTTCGAGAGAAGTAGAATGGACCGAAAGCCCCCATTTCATCAACAAGGTTTTGGTGAAAATGACGGAAATTTTGGTTGACCTGTCATGGACCCTCAAGTAAGGGCGACAGATCACCACCACAGGATGCCCTCCTTGACCCTGCCATCGACATGTAGATGGCAATTCGTGGGCACGGACTGCTGAGACACCCTCCCACCACGCCATACCACGTTGCGAGGTCTGATCGCTGGGTTCGTCTTGGGTGTTTCACTGGAAACCTCTACCCGTTCAACGACCCCTCGCGACATGTTCCGCCGCACAATAGACCCTGTGATGCCCGCCCAGTCGCTGGGCAGTCGCCGCGCAGGGGCAGAGGACGATCATACAAAATGACCCCTCTCCGCGCTCTCACATGGTGAAGACGGACTACACCAGGCTGGCTCTCTGTTGTGCATCCATACCCCCCTTCGCTTCATCATGGTTGCCAGAATCACTGTTCGGTACCAGACGACGTCCTTCAGGCTAGTCCTGGGACTGGTTGCCTTTGTCATTGTTTCTCTAATGTATCTTCAAGATGACGACATGCTACTGCCGAAGCAGTTTGTCCAAGTCACGACTCGCCCTACTACCTCGTCGTACAACTGGGCCAAGCATCCCCAGAAATACCTCACGCGCGAGGGCAACATGGCGCGGCTGCCGACCGGAAAACCTTTGGCTTTGCCCAAGGTTCAACACGACTTTGAAGCTGAGCGGTCCAGGGACCTCAAGAGGGCAAGACATCTGTCTGTCTTCTCGTCACCACAGAACTTTGAGCGCCAGCAGGCCATCAAGAACGCCTTCAAGAAGACCTGGACCAGCTACAAGCGCCATGCATGGGGCTACGACGAGTTGAAGCCCATCTCGTTGGATGGCGTGGACAAGTTCAACGGCTGGGGTGCCACCATCGTCGACTCACTCGACACTTTGTGGATGATGGGCATGTACGACGAGTTCAACGATGCTGTTGCATTTGTCGCCTCCCTCGACTGGAACAACTCTACCCAGCTGCACTGCAACCTCTTCGAGACGAACATTCGGTATCTTGGAGGCCTCGTTGCAGCGTTTGACCTCAGCCAGGAGAGGGTGCTCCTCGAAAAGGCTATCGAGCTCGGCGATATGCTGTACGCCGCTTTCGACACCCCGGATCGCTTTCCCCCATTCATCTTCAGCTTTGTGAACCTTCGCGCTGGTCAGATAATACCAGACGCCTACCAGAGCGCCGCTGCCATTGGCAGTTTGTCTCTGGAGTTCACCCCCCTCCGCGCAGCTGACCAACGACAACAAGTATTTTTGACGCTATTGACAGGATCAAGCGTGCCTTTGCGACGATCCAGACCTCGACCCTGCTGCAGGGC